GGACAACAATGAGTTCCAACACTCCCCCGCACGTGAGACCCCATTTTTATGGGTCACACGTGGAGATCCACATCGGCAACCACGTGGAGCCATGTAGGGACTCACCCATCGCGCGGGGCCAAATGGGGACCCACCCATCACGTGGCACCTTTGGCCTACGTGGAGCCAAACAGGGACTCACCCATCGCACGGGGCCAAACGGGGACCCACCCATCACGTGGCAAGTACGGGCCCGCAACTTGGCTCTGATACCATGTCAAATTTTCCAGGTTAACGATCCGAGGGCCCACTCCAACAACACCGATATTGTCCCCACTTTACCACCTGCACAATCCTCAGGTGTGGGGTTTTATCACAAAAGGCCTCGGTGTTAGTTAGAGATGGGTATTTCTATTTAAACTACTTTCTCTTTGGCCCTCTAGCCGATGTGGGACAACAATGAGTTCCAACATTTTTACACTATATAAGGTCACCCTAAGCTCTCTCTAAGGATCACATACCACATACTTTTTCATCATATTTCAATACACCAACAAATATATCAAAGAGAGAGCCAAGAGTTGTTGCCGCGGTGTTTTTGGAGCTTACGAAGATGTTGCTATGGAGAATCCAGAGATAAAATTCATCTGTCAAATCAGTTTTATGACAACAATTCTTTTGTTTATCTTTTCTTTTGTCATGAACTAATTTCCCTTACTAGGTCTACGATGTAGCCTAACCATGAATACTTAATTTTTATAGTTATATTAATTTTTGATTACTATTCCATGTTGAGTATTTGTTAATGTTCTTAATGCTTTGAATATCTGGCTGATATTTAATTGATTTGATGACCCAAGCAGAGACCAAGAGGAGATGTTTAGTGTTTGCTTCTCGTAACAAATACCATGTCTTGAATGAGGGCTAGAAAGGGACTAACATGCGGCAGCAACTATTGGCTCTCTCTCTGCTATATTTGTTGGTGTATTGAAATATGATGAAAAAGTATATGGTATGTGGTCCTTGGAGATAGCTTAGGGTGACCTTATATAGTGTAAAACTAAACCCTACTCTAAAAAGGTCTGGAAAAACTCTCATAAAGCAAAACAAAATCCCAAACAATTAAGGAAACAAACTAGGAAAGAATCCTTCTTTGACTTGGAAACACGTCAGCCAACTTGCACGCACATTTTGGGGTCTTTCCACTTCCTAGACAATTCTGGAAAAATATGAGAAATGTGGCTTGATCTCTAAGCTTTCCAAGCATATATCACACACCACTAGGAAAAATCGGAAAAGTCTTCAAATAAGTCTTCAAATCTTCAATCTTCCACAGCAGTGCAGTTCTGACGGGATTTCAACTTAGGCTGTCTTGACTTGCAAGTTTGGAGCATTCGGCTTGGTAGAAAATTATGAAACTTTGACATAATGATCTTCAATGTCTTAGCTTTCTTCTCCAATCAGCCTTGTGTTAAAATTCATTCGAAAAGTCGATTTTCAGTTGAAATCCTTCCAAGACTGCAAAATAGCTGAAAATAAGGAAAGTAAGGTAATAATGCCCCTTTTAATTAACTTTCCCTACAAAAACCAAATATAAGAGGTATAAATATATAGGAAATAATGCACTTATCAACGGGGATATTGTTGTTTTGTAATTCCGGCCAACCACAGTATGCTATTTGTGATAATTTTTCCACTTGGCATTGCCAGGATAGCAAAACAATATTATTTCCGATGCACACAAGTTTTCCAAATCTAAAGATTATGAACTTTACAACCTTGACGATGTTACAGTGGAAGATGACGAGGAAGATCAGCAAGAGCAGAATCCATAGCCTATGGCCATTCTAATTCTCATGTGATGTGAAGTTACATTTTTATATCTTTCAATATTTTGTGTTGTCACCACTAGTTTTGTAGCTATTATTTAGGGGAAAAGTAACTAAAGATGATGGTGATGATTTATCTGAGATCATTGAGGAACCAAAGCTGAAAACAGCAAGGCTCTCATTGAGGAAAAAATTACCCAATTAAAGCCCGTGGATAGCTGAGGTCTTGGATTTCAAGTCCATTTCGACGTGGTTTCGGAGGACCTGTGTTCTCTTTAGAAATCTCTCAAGCATCCAACTACTTATATATTCTCTTTAGTTTGTTCCTCATATAATTGACCTTCTAATTAGCAAATACAGACCAAAGGGAGTACTCATCATGAATCAATCGAGCTTGTTGCATCTCTCTTGATTGAGCTGGTCATAAACCAAAAACATCATTTCCTTTCACCTTTGTCTTGATTGGGAAACAAATGTTCATAAATTTGAACATATATAACATATACACACACACACATCATAATAAAAAAAAAAGCTTAAATTGATGGATGATGAATATTAGCCACAGAGTTTATGGACAGGTTCTTGTTAACCTAATCCAAACATACTATTAAAAGCATTAATTGAAAACTTCCCTTCCCTTCCCTTCCCTTCCCTTATTCCCTTACCAAGTTGCAATTACAGAATATGATTAATTTCTATGTTATCTTTTCACCTACATCTTTTCCCTTCCCTTACCAGCATGCCAATTGCCCCAGCCCTCTTCGGTACGATTTCTACGTCATCTTTTTACTATCGCTTTCCCTTCATTGTTTCATGTATATTTTTGCTCTTATGGCCGGGCATTTTTGCTATTATGTCTTCTGATTAATTTGGATGCCAGGTTCATGTTAATCCCGTTGTCATCTTTCCTTAAACAACAACAAAAGAAAAAAAAAACTTACTTTACTTGACATTGTTTTCCACCTACATTGTCAGCTCATCGGAGCAGAAATGACATACTTTTGCAAAATGACAGAGGAAATGGAGGTGCAAATCTTAGCAAGGCTGCCTCCCAAATCCCTAATGCGATTCAAATGTGTTTGTAACTCATGGCATGCTCTCCTCAAGAACCCCCATTTTGTAGCCAAGCACCTTCACTTGTACAACTACCAACCTTCCTCCACTTGCATCCTTTTCAAGCGTTCTGTCCTCAGCAGGACAGAACACAACAAGGAGGAGCTTGTATTCACATTCCTTAATCTTCACAACGACAACGAAAGCAATGCTGATCATAACCTTATCAATTGTAACGTTGAGGACCTCCATTTCCCACATTCTATGGGTTTAAAAAGTAGGGGCCCATTCATTGAGCTCCCTGGCTTAGAGCTTGGTGAATCTGTCCACATTGTAGGTCATTGTGATGGATTGTTTTGTTTGTCTCTTTACACTGGAGAACTTGTTTTCTATAATCCAGCCATCAAGGAGTTTAGGGTTCTTCCCCAATCATGCCTTGAAAATGCCTTCTCATGCACTTTGGGGTTTGGCTATGATCCCAAACGTAAAGATTACATACTTCTCAGTGTTGTGTCTTATGGGGAGGAAATATTGGATGACGAGCGTCTCGTCATCCATCCTCCCCAAGCAGAAATATACACATTGAGCACTAATTCTTGGAGGGGGATTGAGACTCATTACTTGGAAACAGAAACGACCTACTTTTGGGGCAATGAGACTTTCTCGACCTACTTCAATGGAGTGTTTTATTGGTTGGGGTATGAGGAGAAAAAGGACTTTGTGTCTTTCTATGACAGGCTTGAGGAGGAAAAGACGCAAGTGATCATTTTGTTTGACACATTTGATGAAGTTTTTCACAATATGCCACTTCCGGATTGTTTCTATGAGTTTCCAACTCATGAAATGTCCCTTACGGTGTGGAACGAATCCATTGCTCTTTTCGGGTTTTATCGTTGTGAATTTGAAACCTTTGAGGTTTGGGTGATGGATGAGTTTGATGGGTGGACAAAACACTTATCTGTTGTGCCCAAAGTGGATCAGGAGGTAGATATACCATTGGCACTTTGGAGGAACGAGGTTCTTTTGGTTGACAGAGATGGACGCATATTCAGCTACAACTTGGATACTGAAAATCTTAAGTATCTCCCTGTTCATGGTGTGTCCAGAGGAGATTTTCAGGCTGTTGTTTGTGTTAATAGTATAGTTTCAGTCAAATGTGATAACAAGTTCGAGACCAAAGATTATTAGTTGTAGCTAGCATTTCTCACTTTGTAACTTACCAGTAAGCTTGTTGAAAGATATCAATAGGAATCAATTTTTTTTGAAGTACTTATTGTTTATGGAAAGAGTAAGCCAGATGGTCGTGACACTTGTGATATCATTGATCTATACTGTTTTTCCTTTTGATAAGGTGACTGAAAATGGCATAAGTTGTACTCACAATCCACATGAATTTCTGTCATCAATATTATATTCGCAACAATGATAATGATGGCGATCATGATATAAATCTTCATGGTCCTGTTGTGGAGGACCTCAAATTTCAACTTTCTATGGGTCTACTACAAATCAGAGACCAATTTATTGAGCTCCGTACTTGTGAATATTGATCCAAAATCTTTCTTTTGATAATGCGATTGAAACTGCATAAATAAGCTTCTGCATTTGACAGAAGAAGATGCTTTTGCTTCTCTTGCTCAAATTGATTTTTTGATTGCATTATACTTTCACAATTGGTTAAACCTATTTTGACCGAATGCGCCATTACCAGAACGAAACTGAAAAACTGATTTAATTTACACCAGATACGCGTTTATTTTGCAGGCAAAAATGACAGCTTACTTGTAAACCAATAGCAGGGAATTCCCAAGACCTGATTATCATCATCAAAGTTATACAAAACTAAACTATCCAATACAAACAAATGCAGTAATGGTTGAAGAAAGGCTGTTCAGAAAATGCATCTTTATTATCCTCCTTCAAATATTTTAGATTCCTAGCAAAACTTCCACCATGCCATGTTATATGGGAAGTTTACTTAATCCTTGTGTGAGAAGTTCTCAATGTTGAAGTACTTGGCATATTTATCAGCCTTTGCTCCAGACTTGTGCTCATAGTATTCAACCACTGCCGCACCGGCTAATGCAGCCAGCGTCAGACCTTGTGCATGCAACCTGAAATAAAATTGAGGGGCATGAAGTCAGAAGGGAAGCACAAGAAGTTATAAACAAACCAAACAACAAAAACTAGAAAACGAACAAAACAGATTTCACAGGGGAGAGGGGATGTACGGTTTGAAAGTTAAAAAGGCCATTAGGATGAATGGAAACGGGAAAATTGGATAGGAAAAACAATTTGAAAGCATTCCCAGTCAACAGATGGAAGCAAGTTACAACAAGAATAACTCACAATGCTCTCAATTTTTCCCCATACTCCCTAGATCACAAGTGTCTTCAAGCATTCTTCTTTTAAGAGTTTGGATACTAGAATTTTTTAACCCCTAAGTAGACCATTACATGTTATTGGAGTAACAGCATGCCTGAAGTAATCCCAGAGACACGGTTCAGATTAGGCTAAAGGATATAAGAGCCTAAGTTCACAATAAAATTTCCATATGCGGAACACTCATGCCAACCTAAAGTAACAAATAGCAACAATGCTTCCGGCAAATGCAGAGGCTCCCCTGCAATATGCTAAATCCCCAAATTGAAGGGCCATCACAACAAAATCCATATTTGAATGGCAATCCTGACTAAGGCACAGCTCTCATACCAGGGCAACAACCTATGCATAGGACTTACAAGACAAATAGCACTGGCAGGGCAAAGGAATACCAGAAAGGGAATAGTTTGAGGCATGACCAATGAAAAACTAAGCTCTAGTTCAGAGAGAAATTGCTTTATGCCAAACATAATGCCATGCGCATTCAAGCATTCACGTTAACAGTTACTAATTACAAATAGTATAATTGAATGAACAGATGAACCATATACATAAACTCCCATTGAGCAATATTCGTTCAATGTCAAATGAGTAAGGTACAACAACATTCTTCTAAAGCTAAACAAAATTTAATGAAAAGACATACCTGCCTATTTCCCTTAAAAGTTATAACTCGGTAAATGCACATATTACAAAATGCAATTAGCAAAGCTGCAAATCAAAAGCATTCAAGAGAAATTAAGAATTTATAAAAACCAAAACTACCTGGCGTGAATGATCCTAACACTGGTCTTCATGTTGGGCTGAGACCAGTTGTATGCTATTGAACCCGCTAATCCACTGAGCCATAGACACCCTTTTCCAGTTATGCAAATAAAAAATCATTGTCAAAACAGATCCACGCACACAATTATGCAGTAATTTGGCTAATATCCCTTTTTCCAGTATCAAAAAATAAAATATACCAAATACAAAAGCTAAGAGTAGTAATTGAAGAAATAAAGCTAAAAGGAAAATATCAAAAAAACCTAATTTCGGCTTAAAACCAAAGGACAAACTTTTTTTCCCCAATATTGTAAAAATGAATGTCCAAATCAAGCAACAACATTCATCCAACAGAAATCCAAGATCATTAAAATAGAAACCAAATTAACGAATTCAAATCACAAACATGTATTGATTAAACCCATTTTACAACGAGAACAACAAAGAAAGATCTAAACCAGGCCAAAGCAAACAACTTTTCTAATCCAAGTGGAAAAATCAAAGCAGAGAAAAGTAGGGAAATTTACCGACAGCTCGAAGCTTATGCTCGACAACCCATTCCCTGATGGAATCGACGGTGCTCTTAGGTTCCGACATTATTGAGAGAGATGGTGTTTTCAGAGAGAAAAATTGAAAAGAAAAGGGCTTGTGGCTTTGGTTGGGGCTTTGTGACTTCTATTATAGAGAGGCAGAAGGAAAACCGAACTCGTAAACTGCGAATACGGTGGGCACAGTGGGAGGTGGTACGATTAAAACGTGTACCATATTTTTTTTTATTTTACATCCAAGTAATGCTATTTAGACACACGACGTTGACTACTTTAGTTGACTATCTTATGTAGCAATTGATGTGTCATGTCAAGTTAATTAATGAATGTCGTCATGTCAATTAAAAAAGGAAAATGCTAGAGGCACCAACTTTGGGTACCAACTTGCTCACCAACTCTCTAATAGAGCGTGGAACCCGTTATATTGGCGGACTCCACCTATATTAGAGAGTTGGTGAGCAAATTGGTGCCCAAAGTTGGTGCCTCTAGCACCACCCATTAAAAAACCCTAGCGTTCCTAGTAAGTGGCGTCGTGACAACATTCATTAATTGACATGACATGACACATCAGTTGCCACATAAGGTGGTCAACTAAGGTGGTCAATATTGTGTGTCTAAATATCATTACTCTTTACGTCTTGGGACAACTCGTGGTTATATCGTCATATCGTCTCATCTTCTCATGTTGTCGTGGTATATTGCAAGGTTCTCGTGGTATATTTTCTATCCTTTTTCTTTTTATGTTTTTGTGGTCAAATTATTTGTTCTTGTAGGCTAGACCCTTTGCCAGCACTCTTTGGTTGGGTTTTTTTAATGTTTATTTTTAAAAGGATTCGGTTTTAAAAGAACTGAATGGTATGGGTTCAAAGACGACGGCCGTTTGTGTTTTCTTTTCCTTTATCAAGTTTTTAAAATAATCTTTAAGATTTATTTAAGTTAGGGCATTTTAAGGTAGAGACATGCATATATGGGCTTAGTTAAGTTGACATCGATATGCTTCCTACTTTGCATTCGTATTCGAATCTTCCTCATGATAGTTTAGATTAAATTAAAGTAGAATATCATTTGTAAAAAAAAAAAGGAAAAAAGAGGGGTGAAGATATACATTTGTCTAATTAATCTGAATATCGATTATTACCTTTTGCACATGTGAAAGGAGATGAGTAAGATGAAAATATAAATTCTATATTCTCAAATTTTATGAAGGTATCATGTCCTTGTGTTTAAAAGGTATCATGTATTTTTTATTAATTTATGACTATCAATAATGTTACGGGCACCAACTATTATACTAATATTTTAACGCCAACTGATGTGGCATATGATATGACAATTCATGTCACGTGCCACATCATCTATTTTTAACTTGCTTAATTTTTTTTTATCTTTTCTTTTCTTTATTAGTTCTTTTATTTACTTATTTTTATTTTAGTCTTCGAGTCTCCATAGTTCAAGAATCCTGCAACATATTCCTCCTCCATAAACGCAGCAACGCAGCTGCTCTTGTGAGGTAACCACCACAATCCACTACCCAATCACCACATCATCTATTTTTAACTTGCTTAATTTTTTTTTAATCTTTTCTTTTCTTTATTAGTTCTTTTATTTACTTATTTTTATTTTAGTCTTCGAGTCTCCATAGTTCAAGAATCCTGCAATATATTCCTCCTCCATAAACGCAGCAACGCAGCTGCTCTTGTGAGGTAACCACCACAATCCACTACCCAATCATCAATCTTGAATCCAACTCATCGGCCCATAATAATTTGTTTATGGGTTATTTAAGTCATATTAAAACTCTTGATTGAATCAATTGGAATTCACAATTAACTGCTTGAGATTCATATTCATTGTAAGATATAAGGTTTCTAAACATAATCAACAAATTTTTTTGTCCATCTGGAGATGTCCCGCTGCCAAGGGTGCTTAAATAACTCTTGCATAGTAATTTCATCATCAGTCACCAAAAGTGCTTTTGGACTCATGAAGAATGGAAACCAATTTAACATTTGGGGCAAAATAAAAATGGTAATCCTATATAGAGAAGAACAATGGAATTATGACGGGCCACATCTCCACTATGAAGAGGAGATGCTGCGACCTGAAAGGTTGGGTTCAAGTGGTGGTTGCACCATGGCGGCTGTAAAACTAGCAACGGCGTTGATGCTGCGTGGACTCTTGAACTATTAGGACTCAGATTACAAAAAAATATATGATAAAAAAGACAAATAATAGAAAGTTAACCAAGTTAAAATAGATGATGTGGCAAATGACATAGATTGCCATGTCATATGCCACATCAGTTGGTATTGAAATGTTGGTATAATAGTTGGTGCTCGTAGCGTTACCGTTTTATGTTATTTTAAGTGTTTCAGCATTCCTTATCTTTTACCATATATAGATAGATAGATAAACAAATGAACAAGAAAGTTTTAAATTTGTATTTACAATTATCAGATCCGTACGTGTCACGTGACAGTGATGGTGAAAGAACATACATGCATCTCGTGCACGCATGAAAATCTACAAGGCAAATTCCTAAATTCTCCAATTATCTTCAAACTTCCCATTTTACCCAGCACGTTGATGTAGCGCCACGTAATAAATGGTAGAAACTACTGGAAGCATTGGACAGCAACCCGCCCATAGTCGAGCCCTGTCCTCACTAACCCTTCCAGAAGCTACCAACTCTATCAGAAAGAAGAGAACTCACTGACCCATTATCTCCTCTCTCTCTCTCTCTCTCTCCTGCAATCTCTGTGAAGTTTTAAGGTAAGGCCTATATTTGTCTAAGAAATTCATGAATAAGAAAACAAATTCGTTGTATCTTAATTGTAAAGTTTGGTTTTTTTTAATTTGTGGTATGGTAATTTTGGCTGTGTTTTCAGGGGGGGAGAAAAATGAGTAGCCGATCGAGTCGCACTATCTACGTCGGCAATCTGCCTGGGGATATTCGTATGAGAGAAATTGAAGATTTGTTCATGAAGGTCTCTTTTTTTTTATCTTTTTTTTTCTTTTCTTATATATTTTTATTTTTATTTTAGTTTTTCTTTCACAAAATTTTATTGAAATATACTTTCTTTCTGCGAGTGTTTTTCTTATTGATTAATTTGATTTAGTTATGTGTAAATTTTAACTTTTCCTCTGTAACCATTCTGTTTCCATGTAAGATGGACAATTTGCTTCCCCTTATTGTTGACTGTCAATTAGTTGGTTTAAGCTGCTTGCATTATGTTATTTGCTAACTGCCTTTTATCTTTCTATATAATTGCAGTACGGGCCCATCGTCGACATTGATCTCAAAGTCCCGCCGAGACCACCGGGTTATGCTTTTATTGAGGTAATTTTGAATCTTTTTTTATATGCAGGAGATTATGATTTTGTTCACATAATCTCTGCATTTGAAGTTTCATCTTGCTAACCGTTGCAATTCAATGTTGGTGAATTGGTTACTTATGTTTTGCTTTCGTTGGTTGAAACTTTTGTAATACTTTCGATTTCAATGCTTAATTGCAGTTTGAAGATGCTCGAGATGCTGATGATGCAATTTATGGCCGGGATGGGTACAACTTTGATGGGTATCGTTTACGGGTTAGTCATACTTGTATATTGGCTTCTTCTATTGCGTATTATCTATGCTAGTATCCCTACTTAATGCTTATTATTGTACTCTCTCTTAAATATGTTTGTTTTTCATCTTGTTTTGTAGGTTGAACTAGCGCATGGTGGACGAGGACACTCATCATCAATGGATCGATACAGCAGTTACAGTCATAGTAGCAGTAGCCGTGGAGCTTCCCGTCGCTCTGACTATCGTGGTGTGTATCAACTTCAACACTATTTTTGTAGCAGTTTTTTTTGGGTTCAATTTAGTTAATGTATAATATGTCACTTCATTGTGCAGTACTGGTCACTGGATTGCCTCCTTCTGCTTCATGGCAGGATCTGAAAGTAAGAAATATACTTTTATTCTGTATATGTGAGCTCTTCCTACACACTTGTTTTATGGCATTGCATTAAAGTATTTAAAGGCTAGAGCTACTTAAAATGTTTTAGCAAATGAATGTTAACTACTAATTATATATATTCGCTTATCAGGACCACATGCGTCGAGCTGGTGATGTCTGTTTCTCCCAAGTGTTCCGTGATCGGGGTGGTGAGTTGATTAAGTTGTGTTCTCCTTTTTCATTCCATAGTCATCAGCTTGGACCTTGGAATTTTCCTTTTGTGTACTTTTATCATGTTGAAGTTGTATGTTTATTGATTTTAATAGTTTTTATTACAATTTTCTTGTAGGCATGACGGGAATTGCAGACTACACAAACTATGACGATATGAGATATGCTGTAAGTTAAAATACTGACAAGATGATACAAATGTGTTGTTCTTTTGAAACAGTCTGATTTGATTTGCTCTACAGATCCGGAAACTTGATGACTCTGAATTCAAAAATGCTTTTTCTCGGGCTTACATACGGGTATTTTTTTCAGTTTGACTTGTAATTGTGTATACTATGATGTACACGCTGTGCTGAGTCCGAGTTTCCACTTTTGTATTCATTTGGATTTTATTCTGCTATGTACAGGTGAAGGAATATGATTCTAGACGTAGCTATTCCAGAAGCCCTAGTTATGACATGAGACGGAGCTACTCTAGAAGCCCCAGTCGTAGTCCATATATGTCGAGAAGTCAAAGCCGCAGTCGCAGCTATAGCTATGGTGGCCGAATCAGAAGCGAGAAGTCAAAGCCGCAGTCGCAGCTATAGCTATGGTGGCCGAATCAGAAGGTGCATAATGGTTTTTTGGCAACATTAGTTAGCAATTTTGCTTTTTCCCAGTGCAATTTTGACAAAGATTCTCTGGTTGCAGCATATCACCGGAGGCAAAATATTTGCACCGCTCTCCATCTGCATCTTATCCAAGGTCTGTCTCACGTTCCCGTGCAAGGTATGGACATGCTACGTTAAAGTTCTGAACTTTTATTTCATGGGTATAGATGTACAAATTCCGTGTATTTTCATGAGGATTTCAGGTTTAGCACACAAACAATTCCTCATGATATTTAATTTTGTTTAAAAATTGAGCTTCTCATTGTTAAATTGTTGTTTGAATGTCTTCTACCTCTTACTTACCTTTCTTCTAGTAATTGAATTTCCTAGTGGATTTTCTGATAATTAAGTTATTATTTCTCCTACATTTACTTTCCTTTTTTCTGGTAGTTGGCTATTATGTCTATTGACATCCATAACCCTAAGATTTGCTCATCATTGAACTCTGGCTTATATCTTCATATAGGCTTCCACTTCTAATAATTGATACAAATAGGCTCTGGCTACTCATTCAAACTTTGCATCTGCATCATTGCCAAGTGGTTGGCTTTTTCTTTATTGCTTCTCTACTCTTATCTGGCTTGAGTGCTCTGTTCTTCTTTTCTGGTTCTTTTTTTCGTCTCATCTATGTGATTATGGATGGAAATTATATAGGTAATTCTTCTTTCTGTGTTTACTAGTGAGAAGAAATCTAGAGATGTTTTGCATTTATACATGTTCTGAAATCTTGAAATTATATTATCCAGTATGTCATAACATGGTTCCCCTCATGATGTGTTCCAATTTCCAAATCTTGGAAGTTACTGGCTAAACAAGCCTCCTCAAAAAATAAATTGAACAAGTATTCATGCTCTTGAGAAGTTAATTGAGACTTTTCCTTTGGGATCTTCGTGTTCCGTATTTTGATTTTGTTAGTAGATTCTGGCTTGGGCATGCACCTCATCAAATTTGTTAGTCAGATCCTTTCCCTATCTGGAAAATTTTGAATATTTAGGTATTTAGCTATTCAATGCATGTTTTAGCGTTGCACAGGCCCTTTTAATTTTATGAGGTTACAACTTTCAAGCTGAGCAGATTGTCAGATGACCTTCAGTATATTATACCGTTTAGTTGGCTTGGAACAGTTCACTAACACCATCCTATTACCCTTACCCATATGTTTGTTTCAGTTCAAATTTTTAATCCTTTAGATTTTGTTCTGCAGGGTTCTGAGTGTTTCGTATCTGTTTCACTTTTAAAAACTTTCTGAGTATGTTTTTTTCATTGAAGAAAATGTGAGTTTGTTGTGTCTCATCTCTTTTTCTCTTTAAAACAATCTGAGTATGTTTTTGGAAAAAGAATTTGAGAATTGTGTATTATCTATTTCAAATTCTTATGTGTCATATTTCCAGTTTTTTCCAACATGGGGATTCGTACTACGATGTCTTTTTGAAACTCTCTTTTAACCACTTCTCAAACTTGGTATACAAAACCATTTTTCCTAATTTTTCGATGGTGTAAGCGGAAATTAAGAAGGGTTATCAGGCTAGCCGATTATCCTAATCTGTTTATGAAGGTTGCCTTCTTTCTTGCTAGATCTGGCTTTTGCGGAGATCTGGGGATTGGATGTTAGGAACTTGATGGGATGTGGTGCTCATGCCTGCAACTCTTAGTTGAGGTAACGCCACTTTATTGATGAGCACCTCTGAAAACATAGTCTCAATGGAAGTAATTCTAATGAGTTTGAATTCTAAAGTTGGATTTATGTTGGACACGTGCAATAGCTACCAAAAACCACAAATCAGCAGTGCGGACACATAAAGCTCAAAACTACTACATTCACTAACTTGCGATAAGGATGAGTGGATTTTCTCCTCCTCTCATCTAGGATTAGATGTTCGATGCTGGTATTTTAATTTCTTACTACATTGGTTGTTTTATATTTCTAAGATCTGCCGGAAAGATCATGGGATGCTGGGTGTAGAGCATCTGGGCTAAAGGTTTATAATTTTTACTGTTTTCTTCCCGTCTAATTATGGTAAGTCTGCCCTTGAAAGTGGTGTCAGGGCCTTTGGGTCCAAAGTAGAGAATAATGCCGTTGAATATTGATTTGGGTTATTGGAAATTATTGCAGATCTCGGACAAGATCTAGGTCTCCAGTTTCTTCTGTAAGTTTTGTTTCCACTCTTTCATCTTTTCTTGAATTTAAAAGAGCAATGGAAAAACAAAGTGAACCTCATATATAATGGCCCCTGAGTAGTCTTCTACAACTGAATGCAGGCTCGTCCCAGGAGTCTGAGCAGATCCAAGTCAAGATCCAGAAGCTTATCCCGGTCGCTTTCACCTTCTGCACGGTACTTTCCTTTTGTTTCTAATGATTGTTATCAATTCTTTTCCTTTCTCAGGATCACCGTCATAGAATAGATGTTATATATCTGTCTCTGCATTTTTTATCTAATAGCAGCCAATTTAAGTAATAGCATTTTAGGTACTAACTATGGTTGTAATTTGCAGGTGAGATCTAAACGAAGCCACGCCGTTGACTCCAGAGATAGCGCTATGAAGTACAACTTTCTAGTGCGTTTTCTTTGGGGACACGATAGGGAAATCAGTAACTCGATGTAGTGTTCTAGACATTTTGATTAGGACCTTCATTGGATGGTCTAGTATTGCGTCTATGAAGTGGTTAGTTTGAAGATAATATGATGTATTAAATTAAACCATTTTACTTTTTGCTTTTGAAGTGAGATATATGCAGCGCTTGCGGTTGATGTTCAGCCTTGTATTAAATTAAACCATATTACGTTTTTCTTTGTCTCTGATCTGATCCTGCATTGGTCTCCATTCAAAACTTGACAGCAGTGAGTTAAGAAATAAGTTCGCTAGCCCGTATGAGTTCGTGAACGTGGTTATTAGCTCAATTTGAAAAGCGTATTTATACATATGAAAAACGTAGTTGGGAAGAAAGATTCCCACATAGGTAGCTTAATCTAATTAGTATAGGTCAGTGAGTATGTAACCTGCTACGTCGAAGTAGTTGTGCACCAGAGTCCAATCAGACCCTCAAAACATTCGAGGAATTCAGGATATCAGTTTGTTCTTGCGTTGAGATGGAATGGATATTCTATTTTGAAGTCGTTGTTGCTTCAAAATACCTATTTTTTTTCAACCCATTGGGTAGATGAAGGTATTAACATGTATATTTTGGTTTTCTATAAATGAAAACCAGAAAACAACACACCAAATTTTCCTTGGTAAAACGAGTCTCTTAGGGTTCTGGGAACATTCCACATCGTATTCGTATGGGAGTTGACTCGAGAGTATGTTGAATGTAAAAACTTCTGAAAACTCATTTATGTACTCTGGTGTGGTGTTGGTTTATAAGTTTGAAGGAAGACGAGCACTAGGTGTCAGAAAAATTGGGAAAGATTTGAGTTCTTGCATACCGAGAATTGTACAAAAGGAAACCAAGCATAATCATTTGCATTTGAGGAATATGTTTTTGGACATAAATAAATGACCCACTGTTTACTTTATCCTGAAGAATTGCTTTTTTGTGGGTCGTCACACAAGTGCTCAAATTTCAAGCTTTGCCACATCCAAAACGAGATCTTATTTCATATCCGCAAGGCGAAGAAACTAGAGGAAGCTTAAGTCCATCACACCACCATGTGGCTGCAAGAGATCATTTTCAGAGCCACGCCACAGTATTTTTTGGAGTCTGTCAAGTCATGACTAGACACCAAGCGTTATAATATTATCGTTTTTCAAGCATACATAACTTTTGATTTCAGTTATAGTAGTGGTAGTTTGCTTCACCAAAACAAGGATAACGAGAAAGGCCTATGACCGATTTTGTGAAGGTGTCCTCTCGGACCCATGCCTTTGCCGGAAGCTGCTCCCTCTCATCGCTGAGTCTGACCCACTGCCACCCTGGTGAACAGCAGCCCAACCTTGGTCTCGGTCAACCTGATTCATTGAGAATGAAGGCAAGTGATCTCTTTCCCATGCATGAAAACGATTAGGTAAAGGATTTTCAGCTTCTTGATAATTACGACCTGATGAGGCAGAGGGGAAAAAATAAAAACCACCATTTTGATCCGATGATGAAGCCACTGGCCCTACTTGAGCCACGCCTCTTTGACTGCTGGATCTTCGGGTTCCTTGAATTATGGGTGTACGCATGGTTGGTGAATTACTAGGTTGTTGTTGTTGATAGTATGCCTGGAGAGCTTGGACTCTGTCACGGGCCCGGGCGTTGCTGCCTGGATAAGGAGGAATCATTGAGGACGTGACAGAGCTGCCAGCTCTAGCACTAGAACTGCACGAAGAATTCCCCATGTTAACATCTCAATGCAATTAATATAAAAAATCGCGTTAAATACTTAATGCTTCAATAAACATGATACCTATATATATGTGTAATTAATATAAAAAATCGCATTAAATACTTGATGCTTCAATAAACATGATACCTATATATATGTGTAATGCAAATTCTCATCCAAACAATTCTAATAATAGATTTTGAAACCAAGGATCGATACGGTATATATCAGCCCACATCCAACCAATCCACTCTTATCTCACATACTCCTTGAATTATGGGTGTGCGCATGGTTGGTGAATTACTAGGTTGTTGTTGTTGATAGTATGCCTGGAGAGCTTGGACTCTGTCACGGGCCCGGGCATTGCTGCCTGGATAAGGAGGAATCATTGAGGACGTGACAGAGCTGCCAGCTCTAGCACTAGAACTGCACGAAGAATTCCCCATGTTAACATCTCAATGCAATTAATATAAAAAATCGCGTTAAATACTTAATGCTTCAATAAACATGATACCTATATATATGTGTAATTAATATAAAAAATCGCATTAAATACTTGATGCTTCAATAAACATGATACCTATATATATGTGTAATGCAAATTCTCATCCAAACAATTCTAATAATAGATTTTGAAACCAAGGATCGATACGGTATATATCAGCCCACATCCAACCAATCCACTCTTATCTCACATAGCCCATTTTGTCTTTGCAATCTTCACACACATTGCGTGCGTGATACCTCTAAAACATTCTAATATGCAATTAATATTGCTTCCTTTACAGTAAACGAAGGATGAAAACAGTCTGAAAAGCACCTTCAAATTTTGTCAAGGCATACCTGTGACCAACAAGGAATGGGTGCACAAAAGATCCTGATCTTGGTAAATCTGAACTCGGCCTAGCAGATCTTTGAGTAACAGATGGAAGTGAACCCTGGTCAGCGCCACCAATATGATTGTTGGTTGTAGAAAACGGTGGCGGGGAATGGTGCTCCCAACTGTGATAATGAAGATCCATGGCAGGAAAAGCATAGGAGTTTGGTATTTCACTAGGTACCGATGTGCCACTCCAATGATGGTTAAAGTTGGAAGCTTCTGACACACTTCCACTGGAGTTTGAGGATGAGGGGTGAATTGGCCCAAAGTAAGCAATATATGGGCAAGGATGACCAGCAGATGATACAGCTGTATGCTCAGCAAAGATGGCATGTTGTCCAAGTAAATCGTGATCTGCATTGCAACATTACTCCTATAAATGTCACACATTATAGGCTAACCTCTGCCAAACTACAATAGAATATCACAAGTTAAATGAAAAGCAAAAGGTCTTACATGAAGTTGGCGAGAACTCCCCTTCCCTGTTAATTGTAAAAAAGAAAAAGTTTAACACATAGGAGGAGAAAATATTGCACATAAATAGCAACAAAAAATGAAAAAAACAAAAGTCTGCTTGCAACATCATAGAGTTCATTAGAGGCAATTATATTTAAACTTTTATTGTTTTGAAAGTCTTGCCATCTTTTCTGAAAAAATTTAACCTTGAAATTCAAAAATAGAAACTCATATCCTCTGCCCCCCACCACACCCTCACCCTATGGCTGGTCTTCTTTTAAAGTTGCTGGTTATTTTCTGAAAACTTTTTAAAGACTGTAAATGTTATAATATATTCATATGTTCATGTCGTTTATGTTATACGATTTGTTTAAATATTTGGTAAAAGTTTGTCAATTAGTTAAAAGTTTAAGTTAATTTTATTTAATCAATAAACAAACATTAAAATGAACAAAACTATTTCTAATACCAATGCTTATGTCAGAGTCGATAAGACTTTCTAGAAAGAACAAATCCCAAATTCTCTTTTTGCTGAAACTTTAAAGCATTTGGGAAGAATGGAAGAAAAAGAGAAATATAGAGCAACCATAAGTAATTGCGACTGTAGGAGAAGAAATAAGATACTATAACAAATATGAGAAAAACAGCACGGATGAAAAAGAAAATAAAAGACTATCTTTACATATTGGCATAATAGCCAGATGATGCTGCTCAGTGCTTTCTTGTTACTTCCCAGGAAAACGTAACTGCACCCAAAAGTGTGCAATCAATAAGGGTTCCCAGGAAACCAAAGATCCATTGGCACCGATACATTCCGTCAAAACACTGTGATTCTACATGTTTTGCTCAACCCAACCAATGTGCAAAATTAACAGCAAACTCTTAAGTAAACTTATTGAGAGATTAAATGGAGCGGTAAAAAGAAGATGGCAGAATAAAATCCAGTTAGCCACATGCAACTGCTTTCCAACTCTTTATGGTTACTTTGGGTTCCTTTGTGAAGATATCCTCTCCTTGCACATACCAGGTGGAATAATTTATTGCAAAGATCCATATGAATGTTTTTTTATTCAAACTTGCTAATTTAACAAACATAAAAGAAGACGTGAGGGTCAAAACACTTGGGCCAAGAAAAGAAAAGACAACTAAGGTTCCTTCATAAAAGACACCGTTTGCATAGGTCCGTTTGAAAACTAACCCTTTTTCTAAAAGTTTAGATTTTTAACCCGCTTTGAACTTGAAAGGATTAGTTGTGGTCAATATGTGAGTCAAGATGTGGGTCGGGATCTCGAATCCCCATCTAAACCTATATCTCAACTCGATTTCCATTTCGTCAAGCTCTTGACATAGTTCAAAATAGATCAGTTTTCTAATGATCCTATGTAAACTAGTTGTATTTTGAACCCAATAAACTAAACGCTAATTACAGAAGAACTAGAACCAAAATAAGTTTAAGCATGAAGTGTAGCAAATGAGATCACTTACTCAAATGATGAAGGAAGTCGTGCTAAGCTACCAAATGGACACCAGTGGACACCAAAGGACTGCAAAAAGCATTTGTATACCAAACAAAAATATCAAAATGGCGAACAACATTCTGTTAAATAGTAGTCTATAAAGCACATCAGTCAATCTAAGTCTTTATCTATACACACACAAGATATAGAAGTTCAGCATCAAAACATGTCACTTCTTTTTTTTATCCATTCAACAGAGTAACATGCAGAAGGATATTCGGTTGTCCTCCTTAAGATTATGTGGTAACCCACTTGTGAAAGGAAATAAACGACAACAATATGCAAATGCTTCATGTGGCACCACTACTTCAATATGGAGAATTCGAGTTAGGCTCTTCTTAGAAATATTCGTCAATCTAATCTTCAATAACGTTCCGCTCTTCAATTTAATGTAACGGGAAGAAATTAAAAAGACAACTAAAAATACGAGGCTTTGGTTCTCTTTGATTCCTCTTTGTTCCTTTCCGGATTTGAAGGCAAAGGAAGGCCTTCATAACTGATATAGATAACACTTCGCACATTTGAAAATGAACCTTCAATTAGATCTTCTATTGATAGCACTGTACAATAAAATATTACCTCAATCAGTTCAGGCT